GTGAGCCTGATTTTGTACGCTCCAGCTTTAGTAAATACACCCCTATGTGTCCATGCACACTATAGGCATTTTCAGTTTAGTGGCAGGGGAGGTTAGAGGCAGAAACAAAAAACATCACTTGTGCGTTCAGGAGAGGAGCTCTTGAGCATACAAAAAAGCGAATTAGAACGCATAAACACACATTAGCACATGTTAATGCATTCAGAATTTTGGCCAGTAGAATGCATTAATGCCAAACACAGCAATGCATGGAAATATACATGAAAAAATTTGGCTTTTTACTGCATTTTTTATTCTGAAAACTCCTGTAGCTTACAAAACTTTTTTGAGCTTCTCAATGTGCATGAGGCCCAACTCCTCTGCGTGCTCTTTCATCCTTGACATGTCATTGTTGAATTGGAACAAATCAGGGGGAAAAAAGTTCAGATCCCTTTGTGAAAAACAAATCCTGTACTGTCACAGAACTGATTTGCTATTGAAAAAACAGGATAGGAAAATGCCCCATTGGGGTCTCATGTTTATTTTAACCTTACATGCAAAAACACCTGTCTATGGCCAGCTAGTTGTAGAAGACTGGTTATAGTACCTCTCTGCTTGTAAAGCCCCAAGACAGCTATTGATCCACCAACATAGGCTGACCACATAAATCAATTATTCTGTGTTTTTGCAGTAAGTGTGGTAGAGTGGGCTTGGGGAGAAGCAGCACAACTGCCATTTGAAAAGTGACAGGAAAGAGTTAATCATTTACAGTATACTCCACCTTAACATAAATCAATATTTTAGTTAGAATTGATCCATTCCATTCCAGTTATAACCTGAAGGGGGCACTCTGCACATTTGTATTCGGCGCAGTATTTTAAAATGAATCTATCAGGATAGCAATTCTTTAGCTGACATTATTCTAAAAGTGGCTGTTATCCTCATTCTCCTTCCTGCTTGGTGAATGAGTGATCCTGAAGAAACACGGGCATATCGGGTATCAGGACATGTCATGTGTACGTGCTGGTTCTTGGTCAATATATATTAAAGAGTGACGCAAGGGAACACAAGGCTCAGTAGATCATACCAGGAAAAGGCCTGAAGATGATTAACTGAGCCTCGGTCACTCCCTGTAAGAGTTGTGTTGGACTTTCTCCTTCTATAACCTCTGCTTACTTCATTACGTCTGCTCTGCTTCTACCCTCTGCCATAGTATCCACCCATACTGGTGGCATCTTATTACAGCCTCTCTCATCACAGGTCCCAACCATCCCTCATTAGGAGGAACTGTCCCCCTTATGAGACCACATCCCTCTCTACCTAGTTAAGCCCCAGTTGTCCTTCTTTTTGGTCTGATCTGTACGACTCTAATCACAATGTGCCATTTTACTACCAAAGTGTTATGATTCTCTAAACTTTTCAGGTAACCTCTATATTACTGCATTTGAACAGGTCTTGTAAGAGATTGTAGTAAAACAACATGAAAATTATTTTACTTTCATCTCTACCTACACTTTTGGCTTGCGTTACAGAAATTACATCATTTTTGGGACAAAAGGAACCGAACAAAAAAAGTAGGTTAAAAAATTGGCCAAATAACCAGATACACGGACAATATAACTTGCTGCTAAAAACAGCATTAACAGTTATTATCGGATGATTATATCTACAGCTTAATATTCCTGTTAATGTGCTGTAAACTTTAGATATAATCGCTTCTATGTAGGACTTCCTTAGGATCTGAAAATCATATCAAGGGCTTTTTCCAGGGTAGAAAGTTTGAAAAAGGACCATCTACGGCATATGATAGAATGTAAATAAAAATGCAACAAACCAATGTCATTGCATAAAATATTAATAATTATTTTTTGTGGTGCTGATGATGTTAATCAGGTCCCCACCACTACTGTGACTGCTGTACCATAAACACATCATGTCACACATTCACACTGCAACAATCAGTCACATATCTCATCCTTTCCAGCACTTTGATACAACAAAGACAAGGATTGATTTGGTCACATTTGATTAGATTTTTCAGCAGGATTGACTGCTCATGTTTAACAAAAACAATCACGTATTGATGAATGGATCCATCTGGCAAAAAGATACAAAGATTGGAACGACTTTCATAATGAATAGCCATAATGGTATCTGCATAGCATGAAAATAAAGTGTGGTTATACCAATAATGGAATGGTTCAAAACAACAGACCCATTGGGGTATATAGCCCCTCAAAACCAAAAATTGCTTTAGACAGTAAATAGAAGATGGCGGGGGAAATTTCCACTTCAAGTTTTACTTTATGTAATCTTTTTTATTAGATTAAACACTGATGGGAAAACTTCCACATTTTTCACAAATTGCCAAGTGTATGGCCAGCATTATGAATATTCCTAACTACCTGTATGATGGCAAACAGCAGTTTATATAAAAGTGAAATATGCCACTGTTGTAAGTATAGCACGTGTTTAGTTAATGCAATTATAGGTTTAATGCCTATTACATAAGACAGGTCTTCTCTTTGGTAGCCGGGGCATTGATAGTGCCTCCCTATGTCCCTAGATAAAGATATCCAAAAACAAGGCTTTGATGGTATAAAATTAGACTGTATACTCTTATAATGCAAGGTTACTTTGTGCTAAATATATGACTTAATATAGTCATCATACCAATATAGAATACATGGGACAGTCACAGCTGTTTCCATGAATAGAATACACAGGATATACCAAAAATAATAATAATACTGTATATCTAAATACCAAACAGTATAGTGTCACGTAGATGGAAATGCCCAGCCATCCAGAGCTCCTTGCATGTGGGTGCGTACCACCAGTCAGATTAAAACCTACCTTGAAGATTTCTATCAGCCTGGTGATACAACAAGCACATAAGTAGCTGTGATAAGCACTCTGATACATTAGGATTGGTAATCAAAATAAGGAGCCTTCAATGGAATTGGGTATGTTGGGAATTTTTCTTCCACATTATATGTTTCGGGATCTCTAGAATAATCAGTCCAGAAGTGTTCAAAACTTTGACTGCTGGAAGAGGAAGAATTGAGGTTGGTGGGACAAATTAGCAGCAGGAGGATGTAATGATAGGCACTAATGTGAGGGGCAATAGGATGAGATAAACATATTTAGTCTGGTTTAGCAGAAGGGCAAGTGTAGTCCCACCCATTTTGCCTTTTTGCCGCAGATGCTTGAAATTCTGAAGATTTTATTTTATATCTCTTGACTTATCCACCTTACCAGCCTCTCATTGTCTGCCACTCCTTTGCAGTCCCTCCACTGGCTTTTGCTTACCCAACAAACAATTGCCAATCATCTCAAATCATCAACCTCATCTCAAAATATTACCAAAACCACACTCTTCGCTCTTTAGCACACTTGTTTTCTCCTCCTAGTCTTGTCTTCAGGACCTCACCAGAGCCTCTCCTGTCATCTGGAACTCCCTACCCCTATCTGTCCATCCTTCTACTCTGTTACCTTTAGGCAATCCCTACAAACTTATCTATTCAGTGAAGTCGATCCCATCTCCAACTAACTGAAATTTCTCCATCAATTTCTGCCCTCATAGTTATTACCTTTTCTCTCACTTGCCACTCCCTTTTCAATTGTAAGCTCTTACAAGAGTAGGACCCTTTGAAACATCTTGTATTGAATTGTAACTGTGTTGTCTTTCTTGTATTTTGTAAATTGCTGTGCAAACTGTTGGCACAATATAAATTTTGTATAATAGTATCTAAAGCCAAAATAGTTTTCATTATAGATACAGTAGGATATGGTAAATCCCATGCCAGGTTTTGCCACCTGTGTCCTATATGAGAGACTTCCTTTCACTTACAGTCATGGACACGCACTCTGAAGTGAGGTAAATATCAGTGGAACAAAAGTCTTCTGTTCCTGTTCAGTGGCTACATACAAATTTTGGATTTTCTCACTTTCAGTACCAATGATAGTGGTAATCTGAACAAGCAGAGAGGAACGCCTAGTGGGATTTTGGCTTTACACATATAGCCCAAAGTCTGGGCAAGTTTTCCCTTACAGTGGGGCTGTGCCAGCACTGCACGGGTTATTTGCTTGTTTTTACCTACGGGGCAGAAGAAAGTAGATATACTTACCTGATCCTCCAATCCTCCCAGTCTTGAGCAGTGGACTGATCCAGACACCAGTAAGCCCATAGACCTGCTCTGGACATCAGGGCATCAGGAACAGACCACCACTGGATCATGGAGAAGAAGTGTTTGCCGCTAGAGCAGAGAATCGGGTGAGTATAAGCTTTCTTGTCGCCCCTGGACAAAACGAGTAGTTACCCTTGCAGTGCGGGCACAGCCACACTGCATGGGAAAGCGTTTTTTGGCTGGAGTTGAGCTTTAAACATCAACCATGTAAAAATGAAAATAGCCTCTACAGAACCATATAAAAAAAGGATAAAAAATATTAAAGCTAAACTCCAGGAATTAGACAAAATCTACCCTTGCAGCAGGGCCCCACAATGTAGGGGTTACATGCTTGTTTAGTCTAGGGGTAAAGGGGTAAGGTATATTACTTACCCTATCCCTCAGCAGGCTCCAGCGCTGTTCTCTTCTGCCCGAAGTACTGGGCGGTCCCTCAGTATCACCACCTACAGTGCAGAGCTCTGGACTGAAGCCCAAAGCGTCTTAGAGAGGCAGAAGCGGTGGACTGGTCACATGGATGGAGGAAGCCTGATGGAGCCAAGAATAATGCATGTAATACTCCTTATCCCAGCATCTCTAGACTAAACAATCATTTAACTCTTGAGGATGTTTGTGTGCTCGGGAAGGGGGGGGGTTGGATACTGCAGGGGTATATTTTGTCCAATTCCTGGAGCTTTAAGATCAGATATATAGCGAAATAAAAAGAATGAGCATTGACAAATAGGTTTGATCTATTTTCTTCTGGGTAGATTAACTTTACAAAAACAAAATAATAAATAAATAAACAACATGAATTCATAGCAAAAGGTGAAACAAACCCAGACTATCACCTACCTGCAGCTGCCTCATTTTATGCAGCTGAAGACGCAGTTCAGCCACATTACGCCGCATGTCGTGCAGACTAACTTGCATTTCTGAACCAGCAGGTGGTGCTTGACTGACAGCTGTAGATTCAATAATCGCTAATATATTCTTTCCACTGGATACAGTGTGAACTGCAGTAATGAAACAAGAAATTGAAAAATGGTAAAAAAGACAGTTACACATTCAATTAGTACAGTACATTTATAGAAACATATGCATAGACGTTATGTATACATGAGATATACTGAAATGATTTTATTTTCTTACAGAGTGATAGCCTCACACATTGTAGAGAGGATCTGAAGGATCCATTGCACAGGAATAATGAGCAGAGTCTCTAGATTCCCGATTGTGGTACAGCGGGCTGGTCATATACCAGAATGAACTTTATGGGTGTGATTTGTAAAATTATAAACAATCTATTTTGTGATATAGTCAGATCTTGCTTCATATCTACCACATTAACCTCAATATAATGAATATAATTTGACTATTTAGGTAGAAGAGCACACTATATAACTTTCAGTAAGTTTACTGGGCAAGTAGCATTTAAAGATAGACATTTTCTACAGCCCAAATGTTCGAAAGTGTACAAAGTTTTTCTTCATTGCTGACATTTTCATGTGCTTATAATGAATTTAACTGCTGCCTGATTAACACATGAAATTATGGGAGCTATTATTTTTAAAAGGCACATAGGTCTCCACTATCTAGATAGTAATAAATAGGATAATAGAATAAAATGCACGCATTGTACTGCAGGACATATTATAGCTGTACCTTCTATGGAGTAATGGTAAGTGAACTTTAAGGCAAAATCAAAAATGAGATCTGTGATGCAGTCTATTACCTAATTATGCCAGTAGATCTGTTATATTTCCACTTCTTAAAGGCCCTGTGTCACATTGTTGTGCTGCATTAGTACATGAGAATTATGATGTGCGTCAACGTGCTATGCACTAAGGCGGCCTGCTCATTTGAATGGGCGGCCTACGCACCAAAAAAGGTGCATGAAGTGCCAGGATAAGGTCATCCAACATCCAGGGCAAAGATGCCAAATTGCGCCCCCCCCCCTTCATAATGTGCAAACGTAGGGTATCCTATACCCAGCAGTCACTCGCTTGTCAAAATCACTGCTACTGTCAATACTCCTGTCAGCCTTGTAACTGAAGGAAGGCGCCCCAATCCCTACAGTAAACCATTGCGCCCAGGGCATCAGTCTCTCCCGCCTATCCCTTGTCCCGGCCCTGGGTGCATGTATTATTTTTTATAAGGTAGCACAATACTACATACAGCAGTGTGTTGCAACACACATCTATTAGTAAGGGGTGTTGGGGTGCCATTTAGAATGAATTCCTGCATGCATGTGCTGGAGTTATCTAATTCCCCAAGGACCAATCAAGGAGGCCGAAAATCTGGTACCAGGAAGAAGCTGAGGAGGAGCGGTTGGCACCAGTGAATGAGCAAAGTCATTTAAAGAATAAGTTTACCTTTGGGAACATTTGACACATTCCTACTCCTGCAGCCTCTTGCCGATCAGTGACAATGGGCCAGGGATCTTCTCCACCCAAGTGAATAGGAAACCACTGTGTGGGCGGTTTCCTGTGAATTAAGGAACTACAAGTACAGACAGCCACTGCAGCTGGTGGCTTGTAGTTCTCAATGGACTACCAGGATGCTAGTGAGCACTCAAGGTAGTTCATTGAGTCTTTCTGTCATTGTGTGACTGCCTGCCCATACGAGGTACAAGCAGACAGATATACTGACCGTGTGCAAGAGCCTGAGATTGTACCTGAGATTATTATTATTATAATACGGGATTTATATAGCGCCAACAGTTTGCTCAGCGCTTTAGAATATAAAGGGAGACAATACAGCAACGATACAGTTCAATACAAGAGGGTTAGGAGGGCCCTGCTCCTTGGAGCTTACAATCTAAGAGGGAGGAGCTGGTGGTACAAAAGGTAATAGCTGTGGGAGATGAACTGATAGGAGAAATAGAAGATTTGGTTATCAGCTGAAGGCAGGATAGGCTTCCCTGAACAGATAGATTTTCAGAGATCACCTAAAAGTGGGAGGAGTAGGCGATAATCGCATAGATTGGGGTAGAGAGTTCCACAGAATGGGGGAGGCTCTGGAGACGAGCATGGGAGGAGGAGACAAGGGAGCTAGAGAGCAGGAAGTCATGGGAGGAGCGGAGAGTACGGTTTGGGTGATATTTGGAGACAAGACTGGGGATGTAATTTGGGGCAGAGTTATAAATGGTTTTATACGTTATTGTTAATGTTTTGAATTTTATTCATTGGGCAATGGGAAGCCAGTGGAGGGATTGGCAGAGAGAGATGGCAGATATGGAAGGTGGATGAGCATTCAGGATAGACTGAAGAGGGGATAGCCTGCGATTAGTTCGGCCATTGAGGAGGGAGTTACAATAGTCAAGGCGAGAGATAACAAAGGAGTGAATAATCTTCTGATCGCAGGTGAGAAGCTTTACAGGCTCCTAAAAAAATAAATGCACATTTTTTACTGCAAAAAAATTAGCATTTATAATTTTTTTCTGAAAGGTGAACTTACACTTTGCAGCAGAACTAAACCCTCATATCCTCTACAGCCAAGGAAGCTGCATGGAAAGCTCAGCATGCATATCTGGCACACTCCAGCTGCGGGACTCCTGTGCGCATGCAGAGGATGGCATCATTCCCCTACTGGTCAAACAAGAGGCTGAAAATGTGGAACCTGTAAGTGGCCAGGGAGGAGATGACAGCGTTCAGCGAGGGATGTAACCGCTGCTGGAAGGCGCGGGGTAAGTATATCTGGGAGAGTAGTTCTGCTTTAATTCAGTGGTTTTAGTTCCGTTTTCGTGCCTTATGGACTCTGTCTAACACTTTGTAAGCAGTGGCAGCAACAGTTTTTTTTTTTCTTTTGTAAAAAAAAGGTTTATGCATAAAAGCTGATTGTTGTAAAGACCCCAAACGTTATATGGCTTGTTCTGACTCTCAAGGTTGCCAGACAGCTTAGTCTGCTGTCAAGTAAATGAGGAGAAAATAGTGAAATAAAAATATACCAATTTCTATCATTACAGGTATTAGACACATACACTTACCAAAATTCTATTTATTTTTTTTTTTGTATTTTGGGCCTTTAAAACCTCAGCAGACTGGAAAACAACAATAAAGCATCCAGAACTATTCAATATTAATATCCATATCAATCACATTTTATGTAGCTGCTTTCATATAATAGCGCAGTTTGAAAACTCAGCGGGTGGTTTTACGAAGTCTCCGTACAAAAATATAGTTGGGGAACATGTTGGTTGTTTTTGAATGCAAATAGGATAGATGAGCGGATCACTGGTGAATCTCACATGCAAATACAAGTCTGGCTGCATGAAAGGCGACTCTGTTTCAGGTGAGGAATAGCAATGACAGTGTAATATGTTAACCAGCACTGGACCCACAGACACATACCCTGCTCTGTTGTTTTACATCTGTTCCCTGGAGAATGGACTGCTGCTGCCTTTGTACGCAGGGTTTCTACAATGTTGGTGCAGCGTTTGAAGTTTTGTGAGTTATGTGTAAACTGGAAAAATGAATATAGAGCAAGGATTCTTAACCTGGAGTCCATGCTTATAGTGCCGACCGCTAAGCGCCTCTTGACTCGTTGACCCATGTTTACCATTTAAATTTGTATCATCGTTCCCTGCACAACCTCTATCTTGTGCCAATCCATAATAGTAAGTGCCAATTCTCATTTTCAAGTAGTAGGAGGAGGAGGAGTAGGTGTAGCAGTAGGAATAGATTGAGAAGAATTAAAATTGTTTTGTTTAATTTGACCGAGATGATTGCATTTAATTTTTGTAATGAGTGGCCATTACTTTTCAGATGAAAAGGAGTGAGTTTTTGTTAAGATTGTTTACTTTATTCAAACTTTGTGTATGTCATATATGTATGAGGCAATCACATGGCAATCACATTTATTTAAAATAAAGTCTATGAATTATTATTATATAGGATTTATATAGCGCCAACGGTTTGCTCAGCGCTTTACATTATAGTGGGAGACAATACAGTAACAATACAGTTCAATACAAGAGGGATCTGAGGGCCCTGATCCCTGGAGCTTACAATCTAGGAGGGAGGGGTGAATGGTACAGTAGGTAATAACTGTGGGGGATGGACTGGTTGGAAGAGTAGAAGATTCCAGTATTAGCAGAGGGTGGAATAGGCTTCCCTGAAGAGATAGGTTTTCAGTGATTGCCTAAAGGTAAGTAGAGTAGGTGATAGTCTGATAGATTGGGGTAGGGAGCTCCAGAGGATGGGTGACGCCCTGGAGAAGTCTTGGAGACGAGCATGGGAGGAGGAGATAAGGGAGCATTCATTGCATGCAAAGTTATGTTTATGTGAATATTTCTGTGAAGGGGGTCCATTGCATTCATCAGATTCTTAAAGGGTCAGTGACTCAAAGAACCACTGATCTAGAGAAACTTGGGCCCAAACCAAAAGAGATTCTCCATTTTATGAGGTTTATGAATGAAAACTGTGGTTGTAATAGGGTAACCAGATGTCCCCATTTTCCAGGGACAGTCCCAAATTTTAGGGGGCTGTCCCCAGGAAACAAAATGTCAGTTTCATCCCTGAGCATTGTCACCCTGTGGACAAGTTAGTTTTAAATGGACATGTAGTTTGTCTGGACCTGAAGGTTGCAGGATGATCCATTTTAGCAACATTTCAGTAATTGGCCTGGAGCAGGAGGAGGGAGGGGAGGGGTGTGTCTGCATCTGGGTTATAGATGATGTCACATGCTGATATTACATGGTCTTCCCAGTCCCTTTTATTTTGGCTTGTGCAGACTTCATTGTAGGAGGTAGGCATATGGACTTGTGATATGCTTGGGATGGTGACCTGCAATGCACACCTGGGCCTGCACTCTTAACCCAAAGCAAGGCAGGCTCAGGTGTAATTAAATCATACCTCATTAAGTGTAGCACACTTTGCATGCAACTGTTATACCCACCCACTGCTCCATCCAAGTCCCACCCCCAATAAAAATGATGATTTGAAACACACAGAACAAAGTGCTAGCATGCATAAGGCCGTAGGCTACATCCACACCGGCGATTTAGGTAAATTGT